TGGCTAAGTTCTGGGCCAGTGAGAAACCCTGACACAAAGAAAAAGTGGAAGGGACCTGAGGAGTAATTTTCTGATGTCATGTTTCTGCTCCTACATCCAACCCTTACAGGCATGTCTACCTACAACAACCTTTCTACAGCCTTTCGTCTCAACAGGAAATAAGCTGTGAAGGGAGCAAAACAGTTACTATATGAAATTTCCCCAAACTCAGAGTTCCTTTTGTAAAATTGTTTTCATTTATTTGTTGGGTGAGGGATTGCCTATGAAGACCAGAAGAGGGTTTGGGGTTCTATGGAGTCACAGTTACAGGCGCTGATGGAGGCTGAGAACAGGACTCTTGTCCTCTGGAAGAGGATCAATCACTCTTACCTCATAAGTCACCTCTCTACCCCTAGCTCTAATGTGAAGTTCTATCCAGTTGAGACTCACTAGAATCATATTATATCCCACAGTTAAGGCCAATTTCAAGCAGCTTTCACTACTGTTAGATAGAAATTTTCCCTCAGATACAAGAGATAATAACACAAATGCTTCATAGCAGTGGCTCTCAGCCTTCATAATGTTGTGACCCTTTAATACAGTTCCTCACGTTGTGGTGACCCCAATCCATAAAATTATTTCACTACTACTTCATAACTGTAGTTTTCCTACTCCAATGAATCATAATAAAATATCTGAAATGAAGGATAACAGATATGCGACCCCAAATTTGAAAACCACTGTTTATAGTAACATGAATTTGTGTAAAACCTCCAGAGTTTCATAAATTAATTACTAGATTATGGCATGTATATTTGTGTGGTATATATGGACATATGTGTGCAGATACAGGCAAGAAGACTAGAGTACCTAAAGTGCCCTGCTATAGCATTCTGTCTTATTCCATTGAGACAGTCTCTCATTAAGCCTTACACTGGCCTTGCAACTAACACGACCCAACATCAGCCCCCTCATCTCCACAATGCTAGGATTATGGGCAGACATGGAAACACCAGTCTTTTATGTGGGCTCTGGGATTTGAACTTAAGTCTTTGTGTTTTTACAGTGAGCATTCTCAGCCACTGAGCTATTCTGTAGCCCTAGAATGAGTTTCTTATGTTCACATTATGGACCCTTCCATCCCAGATGACCAGTGCTCAGCTCTAGATTCAGCAGCTTTGGGCCCCTGAAAAGCTATTTGGAACAATTCCCAGTTTGTGTGCAGCCTAAGCTGGAGGGAGTACAGTGATAATTAACAAAGTGTCAGACTGGATAATGGTAGGAACTGTAAAGACACTAAAATGTTGTTACCAAGGCCCAGACGCACCTGTGAAAACAGGAAGTTAATTTGTGTGAAGAATCTCACATAGGGGTGGAGGGGACAAAGCATGTGAGATTCCTTTAAATAATTCATACCAGGCAGGGAAAAATGTCTCTACCAAAAAGAATAAAAGCAACGAAGAACAAAAATACCCTCTGGCTGGTGAGATAACTCAAGGTCTGTGAAAGGAGCCTTCCTGAATTCCTTTTGCATCTCTGTGGCCTTGAGACAGCCTCACCATCTATAATGTTGGGGATTTCTAGTCCCTAAGACAGAAGTGATGACATCCGGTCACAAGGTTACCTGCCCCAGGCACTGCAGTTCTAGGAAGGGTACTGTTCTTTAAGGAGATGACTGAACAGACAGTATCCTCCACTTTGCTCTTTAGAACCTGTTATGGGAACCCTGTCATCGCTTCTGTCCTAGGGATTAGATTTTTTTCTGTCTGGTATGAACCAGTCACAGTTTTCACTGGCCTGTCTCTCTTTGGTTTTGCTTCTCAGGAAGGTGACTTGGCACTGCCAGATGCTTTTTCATAGTCCTTCATTTCTGCTTCCTTTTAAAGGACTTCTTGTTTTTTAAAAGTAAACCTTTTTCAGTCAGTCAGGGGGGAGGACCTTGGACTTTCCACAGGGCAGGGAACCCTGACTGCTCTTTGGATTGGAGAGGGAGGGGGAGAAGAGTGGGGGGAGGGGGAGAAGAATGGGAAGAGGGGGAGAAGGATGGGAGGAGGGGGAGGGAAATGGGAGGCTGGGAGGAGGCGGAAACTTTTTTTCCTTTTCTCAATTAAAAAAAAAAAGTAAACCTTTTGGCCCCTACCATTGGATTCCTTATTATATTTCTATAATGACATGTAAAAATCCAGAATGAGAAATAAAACGATATATGCTCTTAAATTGTAATTTTATTCTTGACAATACCAAATGAATACCCGACAATTCCATTCATTTTTGACAACATGTACCAAATGCCATAAGTTGGGAGGCTCAGTGATAGAAAACCGATACCCTTAGATTTTGGCTTCAAATCTCACACCCTACAGTTAGCTGTATTCTATCCAGCTTTACTGCAAGGTGGGAATTTTCTGTTTTCTAGTTTGGACAAATTCTTCAGCAGCATGGGATTTCAGATAGGAAGAGAAAGGAAAGGGGAGCATGGAACTGCAGGGAGGCAGTGAGTAATTATCCTTCAATCAAATAATTTGAGAATGCTGGCAACATTCAGCACTGGGGTATGGTCTGAAAGTAGTTTGCTGTCCTCATCCACAGCCAAACATGGTGTCCTCTTTTAAAAATCTCCAAAAGAAGGGGGGAGGGGACCTTGCAGGATGAGAACTTAGTACACAGTCTGCTCTCCAAGACCCAGGTAAAGGAACATGGCAAATGTGATGTAGGGTCCACTACTTCTTGGAGTAAAAAAAAGTGGGGCTTGCTTTCCATGTGCCTCATTCTGTCTAATGGTGGTCAGGTTACCTTGAACCCCTGGGCTACAGGAGTCTGCCTTGTTCCTCATATCTTGCTTGCACTCCTTTCTGCTTAGAGCCTCGTAACCTGCAGGGCCTGGGTTCTCTGACAAGCACTAACAGAGTCAAACAGAGGGCAAGACTGAGGTCACTAGTTGATCACAAAGGACAAAAATGCAAAGGAAGAAATCTGAGGAAAATGTCAGGCATGGCCTAAGCACAGGAACCTCTGCTTGGGTTTGGAGTGCATCATCTTCCTGGTAAATTGACATTATCACCATCCATTCAAGCATCCCCCTGTAAACTTAGATGGCTTATCAGACATCATGATCAGAATGATTGAGGCTTAAATCACTGTCCACAGATTGAATAGAAAGCTACTTTCTTCCCCATATCTTGGTATCATTGAAAGCAGAAGGGGATTTTGGGACAAAAAAAAAAAAAAAAGGAAAGGGAAATAGGAGAAACCTAGCCCTGCCTTCTTGTATTTTCCCTTGATAGCTTTGTGTGAATGTTACCTTGAAGTAAGATGTACAAAATGATTTACATAGGCAAGTCTCTGCAAATAATGTGCAAACAATCTAGTTTGCTGAAAATACTCAGACTATTTATTTTTGTTCCTATCAACTCATTTTCCTGTCTTTCCCTTTGATATAAGTTCAACAAACACCTATATTCCATGTAAAACCATTTCTGCACCTTCAATGTATTTAACTTTAATCATGCATTTCAAATTACTTCTGTCATCAGATCTGTTCAATAGTTAACTTGTAAGCTCAGAATCCATCCGGTACACTGTAGTTACAGTAGTTTGTTTGGTATCAAATGCAATTAGTTATGTATTAGTGTTATATCTGATTTACCCAGAAAACTGCCTCTAAAAAGAGTTTGTCTTTGATAGATCCTTAAATACTTAAAGAATTAAATAGGAAAAGAAAAAAACACAGACCGAAAATGGCAGCACACAGAATTTTACTGTATCTTTTCTTTCTATTAACCAAACACGCAACTCTAAAATCTTTGTGTCTATTTCAGAATTTCAATAAGCCTTTACTTCAGTGCATGCATGTGCGTATGTATGCATACATTTGAAATACAGACATATGTGTGTGTCAAATATAAGTATGTATCTCAAAAATGTGTATACAGAAAGCAACATAGATAATCTCTGTGCATATTGGTGTGTGTGTCAAATGCAAACATATCTCATAAATAAATATATAGAGACAGTAATGTACAACACATACAGACATACAGATAGGGAGAAAGATTCGGGGGGAGGGAGAAAGNAGGGAGGGAGGAAGAGAGAGAGAGAGAGAGAGAGAGAGAGAGAGAGAGAGAGAGAGAGAGAGAGAGAGAGATTGTATATAGCCCATGGTGGATATCACTTTTAGCCCAGATTGGCAATGAATTTGCAAAGTAGTCCTTCTGCTTCAACACTCCTAATGCTAGATTTATAGATTCACAATTTTGAGATACACACCTAACTCAGCATTATTTTCTGTTTAGAGAGAGAGTTTCATATAACTCAAACTTGCCTCAAACATGCTAAATAGTTGAAGATGAACTTCTGATTCTCCTACCTCTCCCTGGGTGCCCACTCATATAGTCATGGGATGATCCAGGGCCTCGTACATACAAGGCAAACACTGTACCAAATGAACATCATTCTAGCCCCATTTTTCCTCAGTTATAAAAGGATTGCTTTTTAAGTATTTACACATAAAATAGCTGTTTCATGTCTTTTCTACTAAACTGTTAGATAAGATTTGTCAAAACTTTGATTTAAATATATTCACAGTGGTTAAGGCTGCATGCACAAGACCAGTACTAACCCTGGCCACACAAAATCCCAGCAAAGAGGGAGGGAGGTGGGCAGGAAACTCCACCAGCTGAGGAGCTGTTGGTATGTGATGGCTGCGGGGAGAGTAAGAGGCAGCTTTACTTATGCAATCATTGGCAGCTTTCTTTACTTATGCAATACATACCAGGCTGACCTCACTCCCAAAACTAGCTGTGCAATAGAAACTGGACTAGACGGGGAAAAAAAGGAAAAAGAGTAAAATGTTGAGTAGAAAGGGATGGGAGGAATTAGTTTTCAAAACAATGATATTGTTCGTTTCAGAAGAGTATGTTGAGAATTCCTATTTCTTCCGTATTTGACATCAGTACTCAACCCACTTTCTCGGTTATTTTTCTACTTAAAATAATAAATTCTCTTTCTTTTTCTTCTTGTAGGTAACTTTTAAAGCATCCAGACACTCAGTTTCCCCAGATTTAAAGTATGTTCTTCTGGCATATGACGTCAAGCAGGTAAAAGAACTCATGCTCTTTCTACAGAAATCTTTCTGTGTGGACACTGAGACAGCATTCGTGGTTACATTGAGAACGGCTTGGACATGTGGAGTTTGCTTTGCGAGAGATGGCTGAAGGCAACACAGTTGACTAACCAATAACTAGAACAAACTGTCAAGTGACAATGACAAATGCATTAGCTTTTAGGAAATGTGACAGAAGTGTGCTTGCTTTCAAGATAAGCCCATCAGCATCCAGGGAAGTGTCTTGAGTGTATGTAGGTCAGAGACTTTCCTACTAGCTGTGTTCTGAGTTCAGTGTATACACAAGGAGAATACTGTTTGAAATAACGGATAGCATTTGTTTTGGTGGTGTGTTTAAAGTTTTCCTTGTGTGTGTGTGTGTTTGTGTGTGTAGGCATCCATGGTCTACAGAATCCTTTAATGGTCAGGATAACTTGAAACAAATGGTTTTCTTTTTATCATATGTTTTCTGGAGACTGAGGTCAACAGTCTTAGTGACAAGTCTTTAATCACTGAGCCATTGTACTAAGTCAGGATTTCATTTTATGTTTTATGAATATTGTACAGAATATGTAAATTATTACTTGTGGCAAGGGTGGGCGTTCACATTCTGAGTAATTTTGCCAGGTAGTGGTAATTGTGTGTGTGTGTGTGTGTGTGTGTCTGTCTGTCTGTCTGTCTGTCTGTCTGTGTGTGAGCACATGAATGTAAGTATGTACTTATGTATAATTTGTAAAAAGGTAGGTATGTACATTCCAGGGAACACATATGAAGGGAGGAACAATCTCTGTGTTAGTCCTCAACTTCCATCTTGTGTAAGAAAGGATCTCGTTGCTATTTTTTTTTTTTGCTTCTATATTCCAGGCTTATGGTCTGTGAGCTTCTGTGGGTACTTCTGTCTCCTCTCCCCATTTCCATAAAAGCAATGGAATCCCAGACTTTGTATTTTGGGTCTGTGTTTTGCCAAGGTTCTGAGGATTCAAACTCAGGTTTCAAAGCCACTGCTTTTGCACACAGAGCCATATCCAACACCGTTGATGGCATTTGAGTATTAGCTATATAATCTCAGAAAATACCCAAAGTAGAACAAAAGAAACAAAGTTTTAGCAAACACAATGTTCTTTTCTCTGTCACTGCTTCGTTATTCTTCTCTAGCTTCAGAGCACAATTAGAACATTATGGCAAGTAGGTATTTTGTACATAGGTATAATTTCCACAGTTAAAAATCAGAGTAAGTGTTAAAAGGCAATTCAACACATTAGTTTCTGTAGAGAATAAATGATAGGAGATTATTCAAGGAAGTTTTATGAGCTTTAGGACAGACAATAAAAATTTATGCAGTTAAGGCAGGAAACCTCGTATAATGCATCAAAAGACTCCAAACGCATGATAGTTCACAGTTCAGAAGACTTGATGTTCAATGTGTTAGCTTATTGGAGTGTACATCTTGTGTCTCTTTAAAGCTTATGCTTTTACTAAAAGTAATGTGTTCTGAAAAAGATGGTGAGATTGTCATTACAGGTTTATGTCCCTGTTCACAGTCTTTGGTTTTTGATTAACTGTTGCCCTCCCAGTGCTTTCCTCAGTTTCAGATTTTGTAGGTAACATGTTACAATGAGAAAAATGTGTGTTTCATATGCAAAAAATAAAAAAATATATTAAAATATACTATAAGGTCATAAACTAATGTTACCTGGAGGGATTTAAATTTGACCTGCCATAAGAAAAAGATAATGAAATTTTATTTTTTGATTATATGTTTGACGTGAGTACTGTGTGTGTGAGCGCACACACACGCACATGCACACATGTGCGCACATGTGTATATATCATGGTACATGTGTGGCAGTCAGATGACAGTCTTGGGAGTTGCTTCTCTGATTCTGCTGTGTAGGTCTGAAATATTAGATTCAGATCACCAAGTTTGATGGCAAATACCTTTACCCACTGATCCATTTTGCTGACCCAATGGCCATTGATATGTTAGCATGTGGTAAAAGTCATTGCAATCAAGACTAGAGCTATCAATGAGATGGACACTCATAGCCAACAAGAAGGCATCTAGAACTCAGAAGTGGGTCTCTTGAATGTAGCAAGTGAGTTATAGAAAGAGTGGCAGAACAGTCCAGCAAGATAAATTATAGTCTTTTCCACAAATGGTAATGAAATGAATAGATATCCACAGTCAGAAAGAAACCAAGGGACCAGCAAGATGGATCAGTGGGTAAAGGTGCTTGCCACCAAGACTGACGTTCTGATTTGAGCCGCAGGACCATATATAGTAGGGGAAGGAAACTGGCACTTACCAGTTTTTGTCTGGCTTCTACTTGTATACTGTCATCTACACTGATGTTTCCTTACACACACATAAAATACAAAAAATAAAATGTAATAAAAACTTTTAAATATAAATGAAAAAGGGAGACAGAGAGGGGAGAAAGAAGACAAAAGGAACAGATAAAAGCATAATAGAATAAAAAAATATCACCTAAACTAACCTTATTCTAATCTCTTGTGCAAAATAAGAATGAATTCAGACTGAATCCAAATATAAATGTATATGTAATTGGTAAAGAAACACAAATTGTATTTAGTGTCTAAGACTAAGAAAAAGTTCCTTAGACAATACACTAGGAGTAAAGTCTATGGGATTGGAAACTGTTGTTCTGTGCAAAGGTGCACTAGGATAGTAAAATTTCAAACTAAAGCCTGTGAAAATATTTGCAATAACATATTTAGCAAAGAATTCATGTGGTAGTTTGAATGAAAGTGGTCCCCCACAGGCTCAGGTATTTGAACATTTGGTCCAGAGTTGGTGTTGCTATTTAGAAAGGTTTAGGAGGTCTGGCCTTGCATGAGGAAGTATGTGTGTCAATGAGGATAGGATTTGAGAATTTATATCATAGTCTCCTTCAGTTTGCTTGTTCTGCTTTGTGCTTAAGGTTAAGATGTATATTGTAGATTTCTGCTCTAGCTGCCATGCCTAATGCCTGCTGCTGTGTTTCCCCATCATGATGGTCACTTATCCTTTTGAAACCATAGCCAAATAAATTCCTCCTTCCTTAAGTTGCTTTTGATCACGCTGTTTTAGCACAGCAATGGAAATGTGACTAATACAAGCAACAGATGTAAAGCATTTTTCAGAGTGGAATATTTAAGAGCAGAGGGAAAATAACTATATGAAAAGGAAAGGAACCCACACTGGTAAAGGGCTCATGAGAGATGCTCTCCACATTTCAAAGTCTTTAGTACTAGTAGAACCCACTTAAAACCAAAAATGACATCTATAAAAATAGATCAATCATTTAAAAAGAACAACAGTGTCAGCACTGAATTATAGCAGCACAGAGGGAAATTAGATCACTTCAATAGTGTTGCTAGGATTGTGTAAGAGGGTATTGATGGTGGTGTCTATAATAACCAAACTGGTGCTACCATCCAACCTAGCATGTGCACACTAAGAGATTTTTTCCAGTGACATGAAACCTAGGTTCACATCAAGCTCTTTATGTGCATACTTATAGTAGTATTTAGTTATTTACTTTTTAATTTGCCTGGTTGTATGATTGTTTATTTTTCAACTTATTAATGTTTGACATAAGATCATGTTATATAGCCAAGGATTGCCTTGAAACTCTATAGCTTTATTTTTAATTACTTGAGAGACCTGAATACAGTTCAGTCCATAGAGTACTCTACTAGCACACATAAATCCTGGTATTTAATCATCACCTACCACATAAATGAAGCAAGATGGTGCATGCTTGCAATCCCAATTTTCAGGAGGTAGGGGAAGGAGGAACCAGACTTTAAGGTTCCTGGCAACAGAGAGAGTTAGAGCCAAGACTGGCATATATGAGACCCTGTTTGTTACCGTAAACAACTCAGATGTTATTTCATTGGTGAATGGCTAAATAGCTGCAAATTTATAAAATAGTATACAACTCATAAATATAAAGGAAATTGATTTGATACATGCAAGAAAAGGCATGATTATCCAGGCTTACAAATGAGTTTTTAAAAAGCAGTCCACAAATCTACTGAGTATGGGTTCTGAGTATGTCATTATGGTGATAAGAAAATTGAATGAATACAAAGTTCTAACTCTCTCTCTCTCTCTCTCTCTCTCTCTCTCTCTCTCTCTCTCTCTCTCTCTAGTATTGTTTTTCTTAAATCTCTGCCATGCATAACCACCTTTTCTGTATGAAACTCAACCCTGATCTGGCCTCTTTTTTTTCCTTCTAAGTTTTTGCTTATTCTGCCATATTATATTTCTATATGGGGCTGATAATTTCTCAGTGGGTAAAGGTACCTAACACCAACCCTGATAACCTGAGTTCAATCCTATGGACCCACATATTAGAGGGAAAGAGCAGAACTGTCATCTTAAGTCTACACACATGCTATGAAACTCATAGACTCACACAATACACATGTGCATCTATAAACATGTACACTAAAAGACATAAAGAGAATGTCACTGGAGGGCACAGGTGAGCCAGCCCTGAGTGTGAGAGCATATCCTTACCCTCTCACCCCTATGGAAAGCAGGCCCTGTACCTTGCCTGGGAAGCACAGTAGAGCTGACCCTGGTGATAGGATTGCAGGTGAGTAGACCCTAACAATGTGAGCATGGGAGATCTGCGTATACCCCTCATCTGTTAAACTGTGGCATGGGCAAGGGAGAAATGCTCTCCCCACTTCCTTATCCTTCACCTGTGGTCATGAGAGCAGGACAGCTATCCCTGCCCTGGTCAACTTCAGCACTCAGCAGAGTGGCCCCTGTACCTCACCTGGGCAACACAGTCAGCTGTTCCTGGTGATGAAGGTGTGGGGGAGCTGGCTCTGAGGGAATAAAAACAGGGAAACCAGCCTCACCTTTGTTCTTTGCTAAAAATGGTGAAGTAGCAGGGAAATGCTGGAGAGCTAGTAGTGAAGATAAGGGAGAGCTGATGAACTGACCGACCCTGCAACCACCCAGGCCCAACCATGGCT